CTTCACGCGTGGACAGTATCACTATCAGCCTAAATTGTTTTGCAATAAGTTACTAACGAAATGATCACCGGTGCATTGCTCTTAATGAATGGACGTGTTGTGTGAATACAATTTCATCCAAAGATCTCACAAAATATACATAAATACATGTAAAGAATCGAAGTGCATTTCGAATGAAATAAGCCATACTGTAATATGCTAAATGATCCTAAGTTGCAACGGACGCTTATTAATATGGAAACTTAAACGTTGCAAGTCTTAGATCTTTCAAATAATAGATCAGTGTCATTATCTGTGATCTCAAATAGTCGAATAACCGAATAACAGTAGTAATTGCATATTCACATACAAGGGAAGGATTTTGGCCTATAGGCAGGGTCTTAATCACTTTCGAGGATGTTTTAATAGCCTGAGTAGGATTGGGTGTGTTTTCTTGCCATCGTTTGTTCATTCAGATTACATCAATAATTTCCAATAAACACCAAAATCGATATTGCCTCGCCGAGGGCATATCACCTTTGCGCATTGCAGCATATCGTTCCGCCTCCAACCTTTCAACGAAAAAGCAAAATGACTTTATGAAGGGTGGACGATGTGACTGATTCAAAATTATCATAATGAGGATTTTTTTTTTAAAGGTGAAATTCAAAGAAAATCACAAATATGTCAACTAATGTATCACTAGAAACTGGTAAGATAACAGATGGCCATAGTACCAGTTATAGGTCAACTACATATCGGGTGATTTATAAAAAAATACAAATACAACCACCTCCATAGCAGCTGGGATATACGAGAGATTCGCCGGAAAAATAACGATGTTTTAATGACGTCACTATATGGACCAACACTGCCCAAGCAGACGACATCTCATAGAGAATGTACATAATTGCAAAGCTATTATTTCTCAAATTATAATGAGTTTAGTGTATATAAATGTAATGGCGTGCCAAACCATTCAAAAAGGGATATGACCCGATTCTGATAACTAAAATCTTTTGCTTGTAAATACACAGGATAGGGGTTAATTAACAATCAAAGAAACCAGACTTTCAAATTGAAGACCCCCGGAATGATATTAAGAACGGCATTTGTTCCCTCTTGAAACGCCGAACATACCCCTGTGTGTGCAGCTGAATATACAATGGCGTCTTATTTTGTTTACAAGCTACAGATTCCTTTATTTTTGTATCGCTGCATTATTTTGTCTTCAAAATAAAACCATGCGCGGGGTTTAGAGTGAGGCAATAGAATATACATTTAGCCTGACGGTAGTGAAGTAGAGACAGAACTCAAGAGAAGATGAAAATGTGTGAGATGTCATGGGGCATCGTCTGCTTGTGCAAGTCATGTCCATACTGTGATCTCACACATCTCAGCAGCGTTCGGAGAGCTCTTCAGGTGCTATGCCGGGGCTGTATTTAAGCGTTTTGTAATTTATAATAATCATTACCTCGAATGTTTCCAAGCATTGAATTTTGATAACCTTGTCGAATCAAAGTTTCAACTTTGCAATAATGACAATAAAGTTAGTTTTTTAAATCAATGAATATCTACTTTAAGAAGTGGGGCGGGCACCCACAACATTAGGATGTTAATACACCTAGCTATGGATACATGCTTTAGCGCCAGTCTGTACTAAGATACCCCCCCCCCCCCCCCCGCCGGATACCCCTCATCTCGATCTGACACGACTTATCGTAGAATTGAACATAAGAACATTTTCTCAAGAAACTAGACGATGAACTTGTACTTAAAGAGAAGGTTGAGTTCTGGGAAGAGGTGAAAAATAATTTGTGAGCGTTATCATTCTTATTATGCAAGTGTGGAAGAACATCAGATAAGACATGTTCCCTGAAAAGCATGGCTCTTCAAATGCCTTCATATTCTAAATATGTCATGTAACATCGTAAAAGTCCGGGTAGGATTTTTACCCCATGTGTTCGTGTAGTCCCATATACATCTTTCTGTGTACAGTGTTTGTAACTTTACCAAGACTTGGCCAAATTTCTTATCATTTTGATGATTCCAGAACCTTGCAATACACACAAATTCTTACATGCTTTTCTGGTCGATTCCACACCGTTTCTTTCACAATGCAATCGCATGACCAGAACTCAACTTCATCTTTAATATTTATAAGTTTTAAATGAACTCATTAAAATTAACACATTGCCCTGTCTCCATAGCAGAGTGCAGACACCATTTGTGAATAGTTGATGAAAGGGAAAATAGAAATTTGGGAGTCCAGTCGTAAATTATAAGCTGTAAAGCTTTTGTTCGATCTGCAAATACAGATAAAAATAACGATGCCAGATTTAATCATTCGTGTTACACAAGATACAATACTAAATATCTGAATAAACCAAGTAGGCCTAACTGTATCTATAAAGATTCATTTAAACACATTTTGCTTTTTTTCCCCTGTCTTTTGCTGTTGTTGTTGGTATGTTTTTAGTGCATGCCAACCAACTTTCAATTACACTGTAATATATGAATATTCTTTTTCTGTATTTGTGATTATGTTATATTTATGTTACCATGTCAAATTGTTTAGGACTGTTAATTTTGATGTATCACTCATAGGCCTTTTTAGGCCTGCCGTCTGATGACGGGTGTGATTTTTTAATAAAGAAATAAACTAAACTAAACTAAACTATAAACTGTCAATCCTGTCCTCGAATTCAATGTAACCAATGGCTACAACTGAACCTTTTGCATTTCCTAATATGCACTACTTTGATAAACTTCATATTTTGAGTTTCTCAAACTGACTTGACTTTCCTTAAAACAGTTTACTGCCAATTAGCATGAACAAAAATAACTGCAAATATCTCTATCTTGCATCCATACACAAGCTTGATTGTTCACATATATCTGCATAGGATAAATTCGTTCTAAAAACCTCAGTACTAGATTGTCACTTTAAATGTATTGTATGACCTTCCACTGACTTTGACAGGCGCTTAATTTGCACATTTCTGCTCGCCTATTTTTCCAGTAATAATCTAGAGATTGAACTTTATATACAAAATACATCTGGAATTAACTGTAATTCACACCTGCACTAAAGCCTTTTGAGTTCCATTATTAACTCTTCAAATTAATAAACACTTTCTTTCAATTCTTACTCAAAATACCATGCCAGAGGTACACAGCTTTACCTTTTCAGCAAGTCAAATTTAGGTCTATAGTGTCTTGCAAGCTAAATCAAATTCTACAGACCAACTTTTGTTACCCAAATAAGCTGCATAAAATCCAAGATATTATTCACGATATAAAAAAAAACATCCTTTATCTTTAGGACATCTATAAATGAACTCTGTTTACTTTATAAATGCGTAAACATGACTTGTGTGACTTTTAATGTAATTCTGTTTCGACTATTATTTAACTGGAAAAACACATCGGACTTAAAGTACGTCTCATGGGCGCGGACATTTTGGAATCAATGCCACACGTGTACTGAGTTTAGTACAGTTCTTTAGAGTCCAACTTGAATTTATCTTATTTTCCGTTTTATGAGTTCATATTCCAGTTTCTATTAATCTGAACACTCACTTCTGTGGAGGGACAAAACTTCGTCGGGAATACCGGTACGGTAACTGACGGGTTTACTGGTAAACTAGACTTGACTAGAATTATGACGGCTTATTGCTATGACCCTAGAACAACATGGCAAAAGTGACAAACTTGACCTATGGTATAGCTTTAAAGTCCAAAAAAGAGAATATTTAAATTAAGTAAAAGATCTTTGCTCCGGGAAACAATAATATACTTTAAAAATGAGGACAACTAGGCAATTACAGCGTTACAGTAATTTGTATCGCACTGCGGATCATAATAATCATTAATTCCACCCCATGCACCTCTTCCGAATTCTTCTCTCTATCTACCTTCTCTCTCTCTCTCTGTGCTCTTCCATTCAATTCCCTCTATCCGTCTCTCTGACTTTCTCTTCTCTCCCCATAATCACATTATCATCATCACTATCACAATCACCTCATCGTCATCGTTTTCTTATTGTTACAGTTATTGCGATCACCATAATTGTCACCATCATCTTTATCATCATCATCTTCATCATCTTCACCAACATCATTATCATCATCAACTTCACCATCATCATCATATTCACCGTCATCATCCTTATCATCATTAACTTTACCATCATCATCACCACCATTATTATCTTCACCACCACCATCATCATCATCATCATCACCTTCACCATCTTCATCATCATCCTTATCATCATCACATTCACCATCATCATCATATTCACCATCTTCATCATCATCATCATCACCACCATTATCAGCTTCACCACCATCATCATCAATATTATCATCACCTTCACCATCTTCATCATCATCATCATCATCATCATCACAACCATTATCATTTTCACCACCATCATCATCATCATTATCATCACATTCACCATCTTCATCATCATCACCACCATTATCATCTTCACCACCATCATCATCATCATCACCTTCACCATCTTCGTCATCATCGTTATCATCATCAAATTCACCATCATCATCATATTCACGATCTTCATCATCATCATCATCATCATCATCACCATCATCATCATCATCACCACCATTATCAGCTTCAGCACCATCATCATCAATATTATCATCACCTTCACCATCTTCATCATCATCATCATCATCACCGACACCATTATCATTTTCACCACCATCATCATCATCATCATCAGCTTCACCATCTTCATCATCATCACCACCATTATCATCTTCCCCACCATCATCACCTTCACCATCTTCATCATCATCATTATCATCATCATCTTCACCACCATCATCATCTTCATCATTATCATCATCACCTTCACCATCATCATCATAATATTCATCATCATCATTTCCATCATCATCATCTTCACCATCATCATCATAATCATCATCAGCATCATCTTTACTATGACCATTGCTGCAATAAACATCATAAAAAGGCTACAAGTATTTGCTTCATTAGCATTCGTCCAATTTAATCGATAAAATTAGTTGCACCTCCATTATGCAAACAAGTATAATCATGATAATCGTTAACTTAATCTGTCGTTGGGCCCATCATAATCGTCAAAGGCAATGAATGGGCTCTGGCGGAGATCCCAATGCACCGGTAGGACTGCCGTTCATCCCGATTCTACTTACAATAGATATTAGATATGTAAATATTCATATTATATTTCTAATAATATATCACAGTGCTTGAATCGCGAACCATGAGGTGGACAGTCATAATCATCACCATCATCTTCAACATCATCACCATCTCTTTTATTACCATTTTGTCAACAAAGCGAGTAACGTTGGTGATATGTATATTTTTTTAATTCATGATTAATTTTTTACAGCAAATAAATTACATGAGTTAAGGGTGTACATTTCCAGAAACTACTCTAACTTTATTTTTTAAAGACAACATACAAACTGGACGATAGTAATATCAGAGTGTTATTGTGAACATTGCATGATTATAAATTGCACCATATATATACTTGTTTACAAGTCATATACCCATGTTCTCAACTTTACTGTAAGTGATATTGACATACAATAATAATAATAATAACAATAATAATAATAATAGAAATATCAATTTTGTTACACTCAGGGTAGCAACATCAGTATTAATACTAATCTTCCTACGGGCCCTGCATTTATCATTACCCAGTAATTGCCAGGTACCCATTAACACCTGGGTGGAGAGTGGCAAATGTGGATTAATGCCTTGTCAAAGGACGTTAGTGCCGGGCTCTCAACCCTTGGAGTGGTTTGGTTTGGTTTGGTTTCAATATAAACAAACACAATACATAATTATACATACTTATACATCTTATTAATTTAATCATTGACTGTATTCTCGCAAATGTTATGTAGTAATTATTTTAACATTGCTTTTTGTTTCATGTGCTTTACTGTAAAACAAATGTAATTCAGCCTTCGTGCTGCCATTGTCAGTATGCTCAATAAACCATTCAATTTAATTCAATGAGTCAAGTGAATGACCCACGACACCTCCACATCAATGCCATTAAAGTAATGTAAGATAAGTGCTTTTACCGCCTATCAAGATTTAAAAAAATTAAATTCCTCTTCTCCCTTGTGTACCATGGCCCTTTTCGGACTTGGGTATTCTTTGGTGTTAGTCGACCTCCATCCTAACCACAATCACGATGACTATGATAAAAAATAAAAAACGAATAAACAAAATCATGATGTCAAAGGTATCATGACAATGCAATACCAATAGTTGGCTTTCAGAAGAAGAAAAAACGCATCATTTATTCCAGGAAGGAGTACACAAACATTGATGTCAAAGGTATCGTAATAATGCGATACCAATAGCTAGCTTCCAGATGAGGAAAAACGCAACATTTATTCCTGGAAGGATTACACAAACATTATAAAGACACCCTTGGTTATAATGATAAAAATGTAAAGAAAAAAAGTGGAGTGAATTTCGAACCACTCTTTGAAAAAAGACAAACGATACAAAGCAAAAAGTGACGGCTAACAAAAAAGAGACCTCGAGAAGAAAAAAAATGGACAAGTTGTAGATGTTGAAGCAGAAGATAGCGCTCATCATCTTCATCGAGTAGATAATTCAGGATAAATCATCTTTGCGAATTCTGAATAGTAGAAAAGGAGAAACAAATATGCAGTGAATGAAAAGAAATAAGGCAATCTTCAAACGTTGTCTCACCTGCGTCTCACGATGCGAATGGTCCGCAATACACATAATTATGAAAAGTATCTCATTTCTAGCTTTCAGGAGTTCATGATGTAAATTTTGATTCTGACAGTTAACGCAAAGCTATAATGGCAATGTTGCATAGACTTTATCCCTCAAGAGCAATGTTTTCTCAAATGATGTAACTGTTGATCTGGCGATCCGAAATCATCTTGAGATTGTGCGTTGTTCATAAGGGCTACTAGGGTACATAACAGGTTGGATGAAATTGTAGTGGATCATCGTTGAGGTATTGCCGTAAGATGGTCTTGATTCTTCGACCTCATCATCGAAGCTTTAGTCCGTTATAGCGTGTACAGTGCTTTTCATGGAAAATTGATTGACCTCGGTCTGATCTGACCCATTTTCGAACTTGATCTGCCCCCTTCAAGAGATGTACCTGGGGTTTGAATTTGGTGATCCTACCTCGTAGCTATAAAAATGTATTGCGAATACAGCATAATTGTAGACGACAACAACTACAACGACGCCGGATATAGTGACGCCTTTGTCTAGCTCTGCTACTCAGGCGAGACAAAAATGACGTCGAATGAAAACTGCTTTTAATATTTTGATGATTACAGGTGAAGTCGAGTACTGGTCATACGATTCAACGGTGATTTTTTATTTTATTTGGGACCAATTATGGAAGGTGCATTTAGTAGTACATAAGAATCGGTGTATACTGTCAGCTGAATGTGAGGTTTTGAAACGGGGGGGGGGGGGGGGAAGGGACGAGACAAGAAGACTCCTGAACCCCCTCCCATACTCTTCCTCTGAGCAGCAGCCTTTCAAATTCGTGTTTCATTTTACGAGTAAGATCGGTGCCCATCCCCATATCACTCCAGTTCCCCTTCAATGGGTTGATTACACTATGCCACTGACATCATCCATTCAATGCACTCACCGGTTATGCTGACATAACCGTCATCATTTAAGTCGGCTTTGTAGATCATTTCCTCGATTTTCTCCTTCGCCATCAGTGGATCAATGGTTGACATCGCTTGACGCAGCTCGTCAGGACTGCAAGCAAATAATTTACAAATAACAATTATTTGAGTTCACTTTCTCCAAATTTGGATCATTCCATTGAAGTCATTGACTAAATTATCATCAAATATTATTTAAATGTAATGAATATTGATCCAGCATAGAGGTGCTAAATCTGATATCGACCATACCATATAGAAAATAAAATTATGATAGTTGATCTACTCTTGTACAAGCATAACAAGCACAATAATCATCCCCATCCGTCCGGGCAATCACGACCCAGCAAAGACTACAAACACAAACATTTCCGGACAACTAACTCGTTATACAAATTAACTAGTCCCCGGATAATTATAATTGTCATCCTGGTTGATAGTTTTAGAGAAAGAGAGAGAGAGGGGGCAGGGGCGGGGGGAGTGAGGGAGGGAGGGAGCAGGAGGGGTATGTTCAGGGATTGGCTATCCTAACACACAGTTTAACATTTGCCTTTAGCAAGAAATTCATCCCATAATCGTCCACATTAAAATAATGTTCTCCAACAGCGGAAAATAGGACGGACAATCTATTGGATGTTTTTCTTCTTCAAATTTACCTGATAAATCTATTGCCATCCTCATAAAAGACTCGGAAATCAGCCCCTTCTTACCCCTTCACTCCTTAAGACTACCCTACCACTGTTCAACTCACCTGAGGAATCTGTCGCCATTCTTGTCCAACTTTCTGAAAGCTTTACGAATTCTTTCTCTTTCCCCTTTCATTTTTTCTTTTTCTTCTTCTTTCCGATTTCTTCTTTCTAATATTATCGCCACAAACTCAGAAAATTCAATAGTTCCGTTACCTAGCAGGATAAAGAAAAATAGGTTTCTTAATTCACACACAAAAGTCCTTTTCGAACAGTGATTCATCTTGCATTCTTACGAAGATTATATCCGATAATTCACTTAAATGAGTTGAGATATCTTAAGGTGAAAAAAGTAAACGCTTTTATGTAAACTTTGATGAAATGAAGAGAGAGCAATTTCTGAGCTCTTTTCGTTAAAAAAAGATCAGTATGATTTGTGTGATACTGAATTGTGTATAGTACGAACAATTATGACCAATAAAAGTTTTGAAACAAAAACACTAGAGTTTAATTTTAAAGTTTTGCATAATATTATGTTCTTTAATTAAAGCCTTCTCCAGAATGTACGTTAGGCTGCAAAAATTTAGAAACTTTAGAACATGCACAATGACAATATCGCTTTGTTCAGACGTTTTGGAATGAAACCCACGTTTTGTTGTCTATGTTTGACTAATCTTTTCTGGATGAAAAACACAGTCATGGTAGGACATTTAGAAACGCACACACAGTATATTAATTGATCACATTTTAATAATGGCAAAACGGTGTAATTACCTGTACATAAACAAAACAAAACAAGCCAAGCATTGATTGTCTTAAAATAAAAGGATGCTTTTTACTTCGCATAAAGAAGAACAATGTATTGCAAATCGAAAAGGCAAGCTCTCATGTAATCATAGAAAATAGAATTGTGTACCAACATTTTTTTATTTTGATTAGTTTTACCTTTCACTGTAATTATTATTGACCTGATGACCTCTTTTGTAATACGTCATAAACAGACTTTCAAGCTAGCTATTAATTTATATTTATATATATTTGACATCAATTATGCATAAGATTTACAGTACTCTTGAGTCCATGGAATATGTTTTGTGAACTGAAAAGTATCAATAAAATATCTTTGAAATGTTTTTTAAAATCACTTAAAGATATCCCCTTTTCAGACAAATTTCTGGCTGCTTTCTGTAGTGTGACGAACTCTAACACGGAAAGAACAGCCAGCACCCCCCAATTGACTTTTTTAAATCACATAATTCATTGTTAACATGTTAAACTTCTTACGGATTTAACAAACCATGTTAAACAAAATATGTTTTATGGTTCAGGTCATAGATTATTAAACTTCAATTTGCATCTTGTGATCAGTTTCATGATTTTCATCATCTCTTTCGTTGTCATTTTTTAAGTCTCGACTATGAACTCACGATTAGTATCAGCTTCATTTATTCTTTGGGCAAGCTCATCCGTAGTAAGGTAATTACCCGCTGCTTTCATCGCATCGTCCAACTCCTTAGTAGTAATGGTGCCATCGTTATTCTTGTCATAGACGGAAAAACGTTCCCTGAATACTACAAAGAGATATTACGAAAGTATTTTTAAAAAGTGCAGATATGGTGTCAGTAAGACAGGGGAGGAAAATGAGCAATATTGCTAATAAAAGCAAAGTCGTTCCTCTTGAAAGCAAATAACTTCTACATGACTAAAAATTATTGGATTGATTAAGAATTTGTTTTCATCATTAGGCGTTATTTCCCTTCATTTCTTCAATATTGCAATCTTCAAATTGCAAGCAGGCGTGACGGCTCAGTGGTAGAGCATTGGTCTTAAAGCCGGGAGGTCCCGTGATCGAAACCAAGTATATGCGCTAGTGCGTTCTGGTAAGTCATTAATCCTCATTACCAAGTCCCTCGGAGAGGATTGAAAGCCGTCGGTCATCTGGTTGATTACTTACAAGCACACGCATGCTTTCTAAGCAGGCAGGTAAAACAAACAAACTAACCAACCAACCAACCAACCAATATCCTCTAATGTGAACGATAATTTTGTTTTATCCGAGAAGACCAGCTGTTATTTTCACATCTTTAATGATCTTATTTCCTTTTGATGCTCTTTGAGAGCTTACACATTACTGTATACAACTTTCATGTTTAACATGGTTTTATAATAACCTCTTGTTATGTAATTTTGGTCTCCCACTTTAAAAATTAAAACATTCGGACTCTTGTTTTTCGTACCTTTTATGTCTTCGGTAGACAATGATTGGGCTGCCTGTAATGAAAAAAAGAGATAAATGAGATTAAAAGAACATTTTTATCGATGAATTACATTGTGAAATGCCGTATTTTGCTTTATTGACTTAGTATACACCAACAAAAAAGAGCAGAACAAAAGGGTCACTCACAATGGAAAACCTCGCATCGAAATATACCAATTTTATACATGGTTGGCCCTCATACCCCTACATTGTGATTAGATTAGAGAAATGTGTGGATGTAATAGTCTGAATATTTAATTGCGAGCGAGCGAAGCAAAAATATTATAAAAAGGAAAAAACAATCCTAATCATGAAAGATTGAAAAGATCTTTGATTAGAAACAAAATGTATTAACATAAAATGCGAGCGATCTTTGGGTGAAATTTAAGAAGTGTTGCTCTTAGTCGCTTTCCTCCTCATAACTGCAGATTATTGTTAGCATCTTTTGTATTTAATGATTTGCCATTAAATCGTTTTTTGACTGTTGTATCTATTGAATATATCTACATGTGTTGTTACCTTGTATATGCCTTACTTTGTAAATTCTTTTCATATTATGCAGCTAATTGTGGAAATAAAACCTATATATAAAATATAAAAAGTAAATAAAATTAGGAGCACAATTTATTAGTGAAAGGAAAAGGGGGCACATATCAAAAGTTAAAAGGACACTTATCAGAAAAGAAATGAGCACATGTCAAGGTAAAAATCGGAATTATTAAAGGGAAAATGGGTCCTAATCGCAACTGATACGGGGCACTCACCAGAAATTTAAAAAGGCATTTATTACAAAGGAAAAGGGGCAATTATCAGAAGGAAAATGGCACTAAATGAGAAAGGATGGGTGCAATTGTCAGAGATAAAAAAGGGGGAAAAGGAGCACCTCTCAAATTTTAATGAGGGCACTCACCGGAGATGAAAAGAGGCACTTTAAACTGTCAAAACAAAAGGGACACCTCTAAAGATTTGAAAAGAAGAGGTGAAGGGGCACTTATCAGAGGTGGTTAGAGCATTTCTTGTACCTGAAAAGGGGCACTCAACTGAGATGATTAAAGGCACTTGTGAGAATGGAAACGGGCACTTAATACAAAGGAAAATGGGCACTTGTCGAAAGAAAAGGGGCACCTGTGAGATCTTAATAGAGGCATTTATCAGACATGTGAGAAGGGGCATTGATGAGAAAGGGAAGTGGCTCTTATTATAAAACGAAAAGGGGCACTTATCAGAAGTAAAAAGGGCAATTAACACAAACGAAAAGGACACTTATTGAAGTAAAATGTGCACCACTCAGATTTGAATAGGGGGAATTATGAGGGGGCACTTATCAGAGGTGGTAAAATGTGGAACTGGTACCTTTTAGGAATAAAAAAGGGCACTTATCTGAAGTAAAAAGGGACATCTTCCTATATAAAAAGGGGCACCTGAGGGATACCTGAAAAAGTGGGGAGAGGGGCGCTCTGACCCCCCCCCCCCCCCCAACGACTCCACCCCCTCTGGGCTAAATTCTATAGCTTAAAAGTTTTTCCCTCCCAATTAAAAAGATGTATTGATTAGAGTCTCGAACTATCTAGACTTGCTCGTTCTCTCTCTCTCTCTCTCTCTTCTCTTCTCTTCTCTTCCTCCCTTAGATTGTTCAAAGCCAGAGAAAGGTGTGTAGTCTTTGAATTATACTTTCAGACTTAAGTCAACAAATATTTATCAAAAATTAAGTCGTTAAGCTTAGAGAGTAGGTTAAACCCATCTAAGCCTCACAATTCTAGAACGGCCTTTTCCGCATTGCTTCCGTCATCTACTACGGAACTTCGTAGTTTAACCCCAGATATTCCCATTAGATCCTAGACATAACCGGGTTACTTTGTGATCTAGTCATACAGGTCCTAACTACGGAGGCCCTCCCCCTTTTTTGTACCGTGATGCCGTCTTAGAGACCTTTCGATAGGGGACGATAGAGCACATAGGACGGAGAATTTAGTCGACCTTGACGGTCTTCGCACAATAATCCTATCCTCATTATTTTGTAGACCATTTCGATTTCTGAGGACAAGGACGCGAAGGCCTGTGACCCCCTTTTCACGTTACTCCATTGGGCATCTCGTTCCAATTGTATTTCTTTGTTTTTTCCGCTAAACTTCTCTTTGTTATCTTTGTTATCCTATCTTCTATCCTTGTCTCTTCTGTCTTTCCTTATGTTATTCTTTGTTTTTATCTTTCTATCGTTTTCTCTTCTATCTTTCCAGATGATTGTTATCTTTTGTTTTATCCTTATACCATGTTCCCTTCTATCTTTTCTTATGCTTATCATTTCTTTCATTATTCTATCAATTCCTCTTCTATCTTATTTCTTTACGTTATTAATAATAATAATATGAATATTCATGTAGCGCCGGTATTCACCAGGCTCTGATGCTCGTGGCGCTTTACACATTATTACCCTGATTAGCCGAGCTGCAAAAGAAACTAGCGCTCAAGCATATCAGGTACCCATTTACACGTGTGTGGAGAGTGGCAAATGTAGATCAATGTCTTGCCAAACATTTGTTTCATCCTTTCATATTTTCCTTTATCATCCCATTATTTTTTTATTTTTTTACCGATTACCTTAGATATTCCCTTTCTGTTATTTCTCATGTACACGACACACCACTCCGTCCCGTTTGCGGACGTTATTTCAGCCGAGAACCATTCTGAAAATCAACAGGACGGTACGATTTTGCGCATGCGGACCAAGACTCATGGCTCAACCGTCGCTAGAATTCTCTGGGATCAGGGTCTTTTTAACTAAGGCTTTATGCAATGATTCCTCGAGCACACCCCCCCCCCCCCCTCTCTTGTTTTGAAAAAAGCATGTTAAAGAGAAGTAGAAATAAAGAGAGAACAAAAGAAAGAACGAAAGAACGAAAAAAAGAACGATAGAACAAAGACGTTAAATCTGTAATGGTTAAATTGTAAAAAATCATATCGTTGGGACGGAAAAATTGAAGTGGAACGCATATCAAAGGGATGGAAGGTACAGGCCCATGGCCCTGGGAAGCGGGGGTGCTGACCCCCGGAATTTTTCCAGGCGGGGGGGGGGGGGCACAGCACCCCCTGCACATTTTTGTGGTATGATATATTCAGGGATATGTGAGTTAAACTCACATATCCCTGATATATTCAATGTATATCTGTTACGAGTGGTTTCCTCTACCCGTTGTCCCTGGGTCCTTTGTTCCACAACAACAGATTACACAACACAAAGTGGTTAGATTTCAAGGGCTGATCTTCATTATTGAGCTTCGTTCTTCAACTCCAAATACTAGACTAACTCGTCCTGAGGACGGTCCTTACAATGTATCTAGATTCGGTCGATACACCCATCACACTCCCCCTCATAAATTAGCACTTATACCAGTAGGAGAAGTGCTCTAAAAACATTTCTTTTTCAATGTTGTTTCAGCAACTGCTGTAAGAATACAAAAACCTGAAAGTATTTATAAGTATGAGGTCTTTGTAGATTTAGAAATCTGATAAACAAGTCAGCTTGTAAAACTATACAGTACCAGCATGCAAATGGTATCACAGCGTTGTCTAGTGGTTTCTGTTCATACAATAAAATTGAGTATGAACAGCTATAAGTAAAAATATTAACCATTCTTTTATCATCCTGCTCTATCATCTTCATCGCTGACTTTTGCATATATCAGAAGTCATTTGTACTTAACATTAAACAAAATACGATTCAAATCGCAGAGAAGTTCACCTTAAATGACCTATCAATATTAATATGTCTTCATGCTTCTTCGCAAGTTTGAATCTACACATATTTCTTTGCATAAAAATAATACTAAACAAACTTCAGCAACATTAAACCTGTCTGAAAGATAATATAATATAGCCTTCACGTCAATTGTAAAAACATGTTACTATTAATCTGAAGTTTTGCATTGTAGTGTAAAACCATATCATCTGTGTTGGTTGAGTATTGAATATTTTCAAGAATAACTTTGATTACTTTATATCCATAACCAAAAATATGGTAAAACACCAAAATACTTTTTGTTGTTCCAGAATTCTTTCTTTCAATATTTATCCTGCCTTGGATAAAACATACAAATCAATTTACTTTTTCTGTTTTCATATACATGAACAGACAAAATGATAACTTACTAGTCTATCTAGCTCCTTGTGTTTGTACCAAAAGGGTTATAACACACTAATATTATCATGCATGTTCAAATTCGTCAACGAATAAGATAAGCATATCACATACATATAACACTGGCTTACAGACATCTGGAAAGCAAACATAAGAAAAACACATTTTTCTTTGAGTCCAATAAACAGTTTCAATGAGTCCATTCAGTCTATGTTCACAATGCTTTGTGATTGTTAAAGAAACCATCAAAGTTAAAAGTTCTGGTTTCCTTTCTCACATAGAATTCCAATGAATTCACCAATGTAGCAATGTTCAACTGTTCAAGAATGATGCTTCACTGTAAGTGTTCAACTGTTCAACAAATATGGTTCACACAAGGGTTGTTTACTTTTCCATGTGAATATATCAATTAGTTGCTCACTTCTGTCCAAATATCACACACGAGATAAAGCGTCCGCAATAACATTGTCCTTTCCTGGCACATGTAGAATGTCCAAGTTGTATTCTTGGAGCAGCAAACTCCATCGCGTCAGTCTTTGGTTCTTGTTTTTCATTCTGTTGAGGAATGTCAGGGGGTTATGATCAGTTAGTACCCTGACTGGATGTTGAGATCCACTGACATACACGTCAAAATGTTCAAGTGCAAGTATCAAAGCCAATGTTTCTTTTTCGACAGTAGAATAGTTCTTCTGACTTGCACTGAATTTCTTTGAGAAGAATGATATGGGTCTGTCGATACCTTCAGCGTCTGCTTGAGTAAGAACTGCACCAGCACCCACATCACTCGCGTCCACCATCATGCTGAACGGCTGGTTGAAATCCGGAGCCATCAGTACCGGATTGGTAGATAAGAGGGCTTTCGCCTGGTTGAAAGCACTC